AAGATCCGATGTTTAAAAAGCCAGCCCGAGTAGCGGCAACATACACAGACAACCAGAACCAAGTTTCTCTGTCCGCACAGTATGGACCACGCTACGAAGTCATTGCTGCATCGACCCAGGTACAAATAGCATTAAAAGTTACCTTAAATTAAAGGCAACAAGACTAAATGGGTTCAAGTCGATTAGAATCATGGCTGATTAAAACAAGGTTTATGAAGACAATATTACGGGCTGATTCCAACCATGTGAAGTAAATATAGCTTCGTTTTAAATGTACATGTGACATTTAAGTCGTTTAAAATATATTTCTCATTATTTTGCTAAGTATAATGAGGAGTTCACATTTGCATACAAAGGGACATAAGCCCAGATTTTTTCAGAAATTAATGGCGTCTTTTTGTAAACAAATTAAGCGAAATAATGTAAGACTGGTTATCTCTCTTTGCCAGTTTAATAGAGAAAGTAGCAAATAACTAGATATAAACATCCATTTCATTTAAATCGAGAAAAAATACTATACATTAGCTATATAGAATATATTTTTGCTAAGATTTCAGTGTCCATGAAAAAAAATACACGGTGCAATTACCAGTATGCCTTGTTGTGAAAGTTCATGTAAATTTACTAGCTGAAACATAGCGTTTTAAAAGATCTTACTTAACTTGCAAAACGAAACAAAAATTAATAACTTACAAAAACGTGTCTGTTCCATAGGTTTTCATTATTATTTCATACTTCGCATGGTCCAAATCGGATAAAAATTGACAGAAGACATTGTTTTCCACATACACCTGACAATATAGAAATAGGTTTGTGTATGTGTGCATATATTTATGTTTTAACTCAAAGTGCATTTAAAAAAGAAAACAATTAAACATTCTGGTTGTAATTAAGGCTTACTTGGACAGATGGATATAGCAATGTTAGCAGTAATACAGTATGCTTTTTGTCCACTCTGTTTTAAGTACAATACAGCAGCGGTAAAATATATATCGAAACAATTACAGTTCCACAGTTACAATCTTCATAATCGTATCAAGAATCTCTTTATCGTTATGATTCCCATATATATATATATATATATATATATATATATATATATATATATATATATATATATATATATATATGCAATAAACTGACGACGAACAGTACGAAACTAGTAACTAACTAGCCTAAGCGTTTTCAACTCTTAATGAGTCTTTTTCAAAGGCAAATACAAAACATATATACGACAAACAAATAAACACAAAAACGTTGTGCTTGTAAACCTCTACATGGCTGTCTTCACATGTGCTAAAACTATAAATACAACCAGCTTGTATAGACTAATTGCGGAAACTGAAAACGTTGTATAATTCCCTAAAAGTCTACAAGCCAAAGCGACATCTATTTTTGCTTTTTGTACATATGTAACGCAGATTATATCCCGGATATTTGATTATATACCGGTTATTCTTATAGTAAAAATTGAAGGATATTAAGAAGATTTAGAAAATGTTAAATTCTACTAGTGCATAGTTTTCATTTTCTAGTCTTCCTGGTTTAGACCGCTTGGTTTCAATGTTCTAAGGCGGCGTATCCAGTATGATTCCTTTTCCTTCCTGGTTTCGGAACTCCAGCTGTGGTTGTTAGCAATAGCGATAAGTATTATATCACTAAAAGTGTGGCCATGGGAGGAGAAGTGTTCTGCGACCGGGCATCTGTACAGCTTTTTTGTCATACAATCCGATCTATGAAGGTTTATCCTTTAGTGTAGCTTTTCAGTTTCTCCGACGTACTGAAGGCCACAGATCTTACATGTGATGAGATAAATCACATTCTCTGTTTTGCACGTTTTGTTTGGACCATTCTACAGAAGAATGATTTATAATTTCTAGCATAATATGTATACATGTGAATGCATAGCATGATGGGGATGGTATGGAAGTTGGTACTTACAGGCTATGAGGTGGGTGCCGTTTAACCGCGGACCCGGGTTCGAATCTACATAGAGTAGAAATTAAAATTATCTAACTTTTATGATAATTCTTATTTAGAAAAATTTGTTTGGTATTTCAAATATTTTACTGTAAAATCTTTACTCTTTTGCTGGCGACGTATGCATGGACGAGATGGTATATGGGTTTGTGCTTACGTGTGGTATAGGTGTCTATTATGTGCAGAGCTGGGTTCGAATTTTAGTAGAGTGCGAATTAAAATTATCTAACCTGCATGAAAGTACTCTTGATTCGTTTTTAAAAAAAATATGTTAGTATTATCAAGTGTTCACCTTAAAAATCCAAGTATAGCACTTCCGTTCTGTTTGGTGTATATTTGTAACCTTCTAAAATTATTTCTATATTCGTTGATCTGTGTTATTAATCCGGAAAGACTTTTACCAATGCTAATTAATTCTTTGGGCAACATGTGGGTACGTCTGCTGCTACGCACGGATGCCTATACCACCGACAATGTAACTTTATTTGCTGGTTATGTAGGCATGGTCGAGATGGAATACGAGTCGAGGCTTATCGGCAAGGCAATGAGTTTACCCGTTGACTCGTCTATGAATCCCTATAGAGTACGAAATAAAATACTTAAACCTTTACGATAATGATATTTATTCATACTTATTAAAATTAGGTTAGTAGTAGCAAGTATTTTCTTTTGGATCAATGGACAGCACTTGCAATTTTGTTTGGTATACACTGGTAATCCTCTATAATTTTTTACAAATACCTTGATTTCTGATTGACGAATCCGGTTTGACAGTTTAAGGAAGAGAATTAATTACTCGGTCGACTTGTGTGTGTCATATACGGCTGCCTATATCACCGACGTAGTAACATCATTTTCTTTGTTACGTGTGCATTTTCGATACGGTATGGAAGTGGATGCTTAAAAGCAAGTTGGTGCGTACCGTTTTACTGCTGACTCGGTTTCGAATCTCCGTCGAGTTCAAATGTTTTTTCTCCACCATTTATATATATATATATATATATATATATATATATATATATATATATATATATATATATATATATATATATATATATATATATATATATATATACTAAATGCTCTTATCCAAATTCCTGGAAATTTATTTCGGACAGTAGAGTGTCAGTCCTTTCAGGGACTCTTGTTTGATGATATATGACTTGAAAATTACAAAACAATGACACTTGTGTATCAAGTTTAATTATGATTTTTTATACCTTTTTTTTTACCTTTTCCTACAACGATTACGTATCAATTTCATGCCTATACGTTAGCTAGGCTTTTACTTTAATCCTGATTTCGGACAGATTTGGCTTGATCTTATGATGAAAGTTAGCTAGGAAAGCAGTTAAGACCTGTATTTTGTATATCCAAAATGTTAAACATTGATTGGCTAGATTTATTTAATATATAACACAGACTAAGTCAGACATTTAGACTATCACTATGCAGAATTTTTCCATGATGTGTAATTTTAATTAGTAAGATACATTATTTGTATGCTCTTATTTACCATAAATTGAATTTAAATATGCCTAAATATATTAAATATGTTTTGGTTTCGATGACGGTAAGTTCTAATGATCTTTTGGCAATTTATGGTATAAAATTGTGTTCTATATAAGTTTAAATAGTTTATCTTCCATGTGCAAAAGTTATAAAATCGTGTTTAAATACCTTTTAATTTCTTCATTCTTCGTGTACTGAAGCCCTTATCTTTTTTCATCGCCTTGGTGGAAACATACATAAATTTTGGAGAAAATGCATGCCAAGAGAGAAAGTACAAGCAGATTTCCTAAGTAATTTTGATATTGTCATTATGGTAATGTTGTTGCAGGTTGTGGACGGAGTACTGTATCGGATGACCTTGAAGTTCACAAGCGCTAAAAAGCGCGTTGTAAGTACTTTACAATATCCCCACTGTAATGGTAGTGGGGGGCTATCCATCAATCATTCAATATTGTAATAATGTACAAATGTAATATATAATATTTAAACGCTTGTTTTTATTTATTTGGTAATTCTTCATTACTTCTCCAAGTAAAATGTATGAATAGATTAATTTACTTATTTTAATAAATTGGATTTTCTGCCTTACATATGCGTATCGTCTTCTACGTTGAACCTTTTGACTATCCAATGAACGTGGAAAATCACTGCTAAGGGCACTTCAGACATTATTTCTGTCAATTATCTTTACTAAATACAAAAAAACACATGCAAACACGCATTCAGCTGAAATAACATTATCCCGATAAATCAGACCTCAAACTTGATACTGATTGATTCCTAGGGGAGGGGTAGATCTCCGTCATTCTTTAAAATGTCGAATTTGTTGCTACTCTTGTCCGCACACTAGACCAATGTGAATATGTGAGAAGGTATGCCTGTACCTTTTCGTGAGCGGTAGTTCTTTCGGGGTTTTTCCCTAGTTCGTTCTCCACCATTTAAACTGGCCGCCATGTACAACTTATTCTATCCTGAAAAATGGCGCTAAACCCTACAACAACGACAACAACTTGTCCGCACACATCTTTGTACATTTAGACACAAATATTTAATGCAGCCTTTAATTTACGGTCTACTGAAGGTCATTTTGGTACTATGCGAAGAATATTTCCCGATCAAATCTTATGTCTGAAAAGTTGTCAATGCACATGGACTAATACACTACTTACTGTGTTCATTTCGAATTTCGTAGATGTTAGATTATAATCTGGAATAAGCCTTTACTTGGGAAATTGCGCTTGACAATTTGAATTCCAAAGTATTGAGGTCTTTCTCTATAAATTGCATGGCGAGATTTTCTGAGTATTTTAGGTAAAACTTGATCAGCAATCATCGTTATTAGAGACTTTTATCTGTGTGCAGATTTTACTAGTATAAATAGTCAGTTGGCCTCTCCTACACAAAAGATTTTTTCGAATTAATATTTCAGCGTCCATTTCATAAGTTATAATAGCTACACTCCAATACGCTATTTCTTCAGGCCATGTCCGTCATTTTAGAGGTACCGCTCCGGTTGCTTAGTGGTGAGACCGTCCGCCTCGGATGCAGGTTGCGGGTTCGATCCCTGGCCTGGTCATACCAAAGACTATAAAAAGGTACTAATATCTGCTTCGTTAGGTGCTCAGTCTTAAGAAGTTAATATTAGGACTTGTAGGCCTGTTGTCAATATAATGTAATTCCGTAAAACATTATGCTCTTTGTCTCTTTGTCCCAGTGACAGTCATCGCTATAGAACGCCTTTCTGACGACATATTGAAACCGACAAATGGTTTTACGAGTGTCACCGTATCACTTTCAGTGCACTTCATCTTTTGTTCAGGATTATCTCGGCTACAATGGGTCAATCTTCGTTGGATCATCGACCTAAAAGCACTCAAAAAACTATTTTTTTCTCCTTGGTCACGATGGGTTATTAATGCCGTCTATTACGTAAACTATGCAGTCCGTGTGGTTATAGTGTCTGCATCGGATTTGGAAGCTCGCATGTTTGAACCCCAACTGAGTCATGCCAAGAACTTATTAAAAGGGTATTTACAGCTGCCTCACTTGGCATTCAGTATTCAGAAGTTAGTGCTAGGACTGGTCGTCCTAGTGTGAGGATAATGTGACTGGGTGTGACATGATGCCACATGCCTGCGGCATGATACCCCATTGCTAGACCTCACAATAAACTACCACACTGCAAAAATCGTAGCGATATGAATAAAACTGAAATGTAAGCTAAACTTCCAGAACACACACAAACACACACAAGATGCAAGCCCTCCAATTTACAGGCATACGAAAGCGATGGAACATCGTCACACAGTGGTATGCACAAGAACATGTTATGCCACTACAGGCATCAACACCTCAGGCATAGCTTCATTCTATGGCTCCTTGATGAGAAACATTTATCACCAATTACAATTTAAGACTACTGTCCCACTATCACTGACACCCTGAGTCATCATGAATTTGACGTTATAGGACATAACAAGGACATCAGAGGTTTGTGCATCTTTTATTACAAATGTCCGAAGACAATGGATCTTTGTCCAAAGTGGAATCTACCATGGGTACTAACCTGGATGAATAAGACGACACTAGGTTTGCTCTCATGAGATTCGTTGGTTTGTCTCTCAAATTAACCTTCCTTCTGGCTACATTAAAGAGTGGCAAGCAGGATTATATAAGACATGCTCTATCTATGACCAAAACTACATGTAGTTCTGGCAAGATGGGTAAGTGTCGTTCATGACTGCCCGATCTTTCGATGCCAAGAAAAGGCTCCCGTTCAAGGGGAATATACTTCTGTATTTAATTAGTATCCACTCTGGAGACATCATTCAAGGTCGTGTATAGGACCCAGTGATAGCTTTGAAGCAGTACCTAAGAAGGACTGAATCGTTGCATCGAAGGGGATCATGCTCCCTCTGATCACATACAAGATGAAAGGCTGACTTCATTACAGACACTTTCCTCCCGTATAAAATAGGGTATTCGTTCCACATATATTAAAATAACACCAGACTGTGCCTTGTCAACATTTCCTTTTTGAATCACAATGAATAATACTCCAGTTTTGAATTCCGAATAATTTCAATAAATATCTTTGCCCAGGAATTCTGATGAGCACAAGTATTTTCGTGGAAAAGTTTAATAATTTAAAAAACAATGAAAAACTTCTATGCAAACTGGTCACAACAAGACAATTTAAAGTCTCAGAGATTTAAAGCCTAACTGGCTATTCCTTCTGAAGAAAAGAGTTATACAGTAAATTCAAAAGCAAAACAGATTCCAAGATAAGGGTCACGTAGTCACCTTCTCGAGCGTCGGATGTTTCTCACATGTCTAAAGTCACGTACTACAGTATAGCCTGTGCTAAAATCAATGAATTTTTATTCTGGACAACTAAAATTAACAAAGTTGTTTACAAAGAACTGCCTTGCTGGTACTGAGTTAAGGTCAGCAAAAGATAAAATATTTCAACTACTGGTTGTGCATCAAGTCAAGCAGAACTGAATTGAAATTCTAAACAAAATATCAAATCAAATTTAAAACAAACAAAACACCAATTTAATTACATATACATAACACTTCCCCAAAAAAGAGAAAGAAACATTTATATAATAAAGTTTTCCTTTTATAATATGTTGATTATACATGAGGTAAAATCAAATTACAAAAGAAGATCTCATGTATTATACGAAGTGTTCATGAAATAATATTTTTAAACAGTGAATTGCATCGGCTAATAAATTATATTTTCCTTGATGTGTCTGATATCAATATTATATTTCTTGAACAACAGACTAAACCTTAATAATCTTTAATTTTATTATTCATCTTGTTAATGAATGTAAGGGAGTTGTGATCACTAAACACAACAATCGGAGCTGAACTAATGTAAACTTGAAAATGTTGTTATGCCAATATAAAAGCCACTATTCCTTCTCGATATTTCAATAATTTAGTTGGTGCTTATTTAATTTCTAGAAAAAATAGCATACTGGATGACCATAACCATTTCTATCTTCTTGAAAGAATACTGCATTAAAACCAACATCACTTGTATCAACAGATAGTTCAAATGACTGACTGAAATTTGGATCTGATGTGATGTGATTTTGATTTTAACGTAGCTTTAACAATTTTCAGTCCCATTATCGTCTATGTAATTCAAACACCTTCACACCCATCTCTACCAAACTTCAGTTTAGTTTCGTTTAATTTCTTATTTCTGTTCAGACTTCCTTTTCCCATGTTCAACTGGCCTTTGTAACTATATCCCAAAAATATATAAAGGCTCCCAATCTTCTATTTTTGAAACAGTTGCATCTAATTCAGTATCAGGCCACCTTCGTATTATAATGTTGTCAAAAGTCACCTTATTATTCTCTATATTAAACTTAGACACTCTAGTAGTCTTATTAAATAGAATCTTTATGGAGTGGGTTTAGTTAACTTTCCTATGTGTGCTTGTTATGACATTAGGATATTAGTGAAGAAGAACATTGGCCTGCATCACAAAAAGGAGACATAAGTAGGATATTACGGCAAAAAAAATTAACTAAGTTAATTTTATTCCACTATATCTGGATTGTATATATGCACTTTGGTTTATCCGCTGTTTTTGATTATCCGCGCTAGCTCTCCCCACCATTACCGCGGATAATCGAGAGTCTACTGTACCAAGTTTGCAAATAAAGGAAAGTTACTGTTACTGTAACAAGTGCATAATCCTCTCTCTCTCTCTCTCTCTCTCTCTCTCTCTCTCTCTCTCTCTCTCTCTCTCTCTCTCTCTCTCTCTCTCTCTCTCTCTCTCTCTCTCTCTCTCTCTCTCTCTCTCTCTCTCTCTCTCTCTCTCTCTCTCTCTCTCTCTCTCTCTCTCTCTCTGTTTGTTTATTCAATCAGCTACATAGATGTACGCTTATTCTCATATATTTAGACATTATTTAACATTTTCAATATACCAAACATTTCACCATGTTATATGATTGTACTTCTATTGCTCTAAAATGAATCCCATCTTGTAATCGTATATGCATATTTTGGGGAAAGATGTATAGTCAGACAGCTTGAGAATAATCCCATTGTGTTGAAAAAGATATGTTTGCTACAAATAACGTTATTTTTCTGCGCGAGATATTGCGAAAGTGATATTGACATTCAAATATACAGAATATGATCCTATTGTATAATAGAAAGGTTCGAAGGCTAAAGAAACTTGGGTATTTAAGCAATAAAAAATGCATTAAATAAAAGTTGAATATTTTGCAAATAATTTAACCAGCAGCTAATCATTCCTGTACATAAAAACAACAATATATTTTATATAACTGGACATAGAGGAATAATATTTTAGCGCTATTATTCTGTCCATTTATAAGTTGGAATGGTAAATAAATAATTGAACTGGAAAATATGCTAAATAATTTGCTTGTGAATTTGTGAAAGAGCGATATAAAACATGTACTAGAGGAGGGCCAACTTTAAGGCATATCCGTGGATATTCGTGTTTATGCTAACTTTTAACAGCTTTTATATAGTATTACTGATAGCACATATTTTTCAAAGGATATGTGTTTTTGTCGATAAAATCCTTGGTCAAAGAAAAGTGTAAAAAAGAAACTCTTTTATTCCATATGGGCTTAGGAAAAAGACCAAAAATATACTTCCTTTATTAACATTCGACTTATCACAAAAGTGTCATAAATTATTTTTACGCAGGTAAAAATTGATATATTCTAAATAAACAAAGAAACAACGAATACTTTAAATAAACTAAATTTTGGGTTGATTTGCCTTTCAACATTATGTACTTCTGAAAACAAGTGGCTGTGACATCATTTACGACAATTACTTTTATTTCATTACAAGAAATGTACACCAATACTCGGTACCAAAATAGTTTATGTTTTACATTGATGTCAAACAAACATTACCATCAGATTTGTTCAGTCCAGTTTAGAGCTAATGTCACACGTTTCTATTATTATTGTTCTGATTCTAAGTTAGACCATTTCTTAGTACCAAAATAATGTATGCTTGTTTGAGTATCTTTTATGTCTGACTTGTTTTAGTCTAGTTAGGATTCCATTTCTCTTTTATATTAATGTTTTACTTCAGGATCTGATTTCCAAAGGTGTCTAATTGTTATGGCAATGTCCTCCTTGCTGTTTTGAACAGCAGAGTTGATTTCACACACATGTCTTGAATACTATTCTCAATGGCTAATTCTCCAACTTAGCTTAATAGTACAATTCATAGGCTCTGCTCTTTATATTAAATAGTTGTTCACTAATTCATGCTTCGGTAAAAGCCAATTGTAGTGTTCTTCGTCATTCATTGGTTACATGCTTTGCTTTCTAATCAATGTTTATATCTTTCAATACAATGTAGCAGTGGAAAATTCATATGGATGAGAGATCTACAAATGAATTAGTAATAGAGAAGGCGGTGGAACAATAATTTACCAATGTATTTCAACTTCATAATGAAAACAGAACACATCATGGTAAATTTACGATTTTATCAGAAAAATCACATAGCGCGATGTTTAATGTCTGAGCGAGTGTTTGCAAGTGGTAAGCTC